CTTTGTTTTTATTGTAAGCACATACATCTTTATGTATGTGTCAGTAAAGGGATCATCCTGCTATACTACACTGTAATATACTTAACAATTTCTGGATTATTTCCCTTGGTCATTAAATATTCTTTTGCAGTGTGATTTTTAAGGGAAAAACGGATTTTACAACGATCAGTCTCCACTAAATTCACAATCTTTAATGAGTCCAGCCAAAAATCTCATGTTAATTCCAGTACATGCTGAGCCCATAGCTTGCAGTTCTTTTAGCGAGAACACTTAAGCATTTTCAAACAGTACTTTACTTTTATAGGAACATATATGTGAGTCATGAGAGTGAATTAGCATCTGAATCCCAAACATTTGAAATCAGAGTTTCCCAGAGACAGCTGCAATCTCAACTCACTAGGCAGTTTATTCCTGTATTTGGTGCTAGTTACACAGCATTGAGGAAAAATTCTTGATTCATCGTAAAAAATGGTTTACCTTTGCCTGAGCTCTTAGAATGTGTATCATGAGATAGGGATTGCCCTAGTCCCCATTATACAGAGGGACAGATTAAGGCTCAGGGAGGGAAATTGGTGAGAAGTCATAGAGGAAGTCACCCTGGACTTGCTCGTAATGACACACCTGAATTAAAAAGCAGATTAAGATGGAATGTCCCCTTTCCTCTACACATTTACAGCAGGTCAAATATCTGCTGAGGGAGGAGGGTTAAGTTTCATTGTAGAACCTGCAGTAAAGCCAGTTAGTCTGGTTAACCTGAAGAACCTCCTGTGAGTTCAAGTATGGTATGTGCCACATCTAAATGGTGCTTTTAAATTTTCAGTTTGGAAAGTAAAGCTGTATGTGGTTCAGTATTTTAGAAATGTCTTTGTTCATTTTTGTTTTCAAAAACTCATATATGATCTTTGTAAAATTCACTTCCCTCCTGAGAGGAGTCCTTTCTTGGAAATACATATAAATTATCTTTATAAAGGAGTCCTGGCATGGTGTTGTAGGATAAGCACAGGACTGCTAACCACAAAGTCAGCAGTTCAAACCCACCAGTTGCTCCTTGGAAACCCTGTACCTTATAGGGTCGGTATGTGTTGAAACTGACTCAACAGTACACAACAATAACAAATCTTTAGAGAAATGAAATAATTTAAAACTCATTATCTGTTCTGTAAACCTTCACTCACATCACACAAAAAAAAGTTTTAAAAAAAGAAAAAAAAAGAGAGAGTAGAGAAGGAAAGGCCTGGCTACCACCAAGAAACAAGAGCTGGGAGTGGAGCACATCTTTTAGACCCGGGGTCCCTGAGCTGAGAACCATCTAGACCCAGGGAGAGATTGATGTTAAGAAACATGTACTTCAAGAAACGCTGGGGCCCACAGATGTTGGAAGTAGACAATGACCTTCCCCTAGAGCTGACAGAGAAGAGTCTTCTAACTCCATCGCTCTGTATTCAAACTTCTAGCCTCCTAGACTATAAGAGAAAAAACTTTTGTTTGTTAAAGCCAAAAGCAAAAGAAAGAAAGATTGCACGGATTAAGTTCTGCTCCTTGCCTTTTTAATGGATGTATGATGGGCCTATGTTCTAAGACATACCATAACACATAACAGTAAAAAATAAATAAGTAAATGAAGTGAATTTATATACGTTGTTGTTGTTAAGTGCCACAGAGTTGGTTCTGACTCATAGCAACCCAGTATAGGGTTTCCAAGTGAGTTTGAACCACCAACCTTGTGGTTCAAGCTGACCTTGTGGTCCTGCACTTATCCTACAGCACCACGCCAGGAGTCCAAATTTATATATGCTGACATGGAAAGATGACCAGTGTATGGCTAAGTGAAGAAAGCAAGTTGCAAAGCAGTCTTGAAAGCATCATTCCATTAAACGTGTGTGTGCCTGTACAAGTATACATTGTTGTTAAGTGCCATAGAGTCACTTCTGATTTATAATGACCCTGTATAAGGGTTTCGGAAACTAGAAATCTTTACTGGAACAGAAAGCCTCATCTTTCTCCCATGGAGTGGCTGGTGGACTTGAACCACAGACCTTGTGGCTAGCAGTCTAGTGATTATCCTACAACGCTACTAGTGCTCCTATAAGTATATATAGATGTTGCTGTTATGAAGTGCCAGTGAGTTGGTTCTGACTCAGCCACTGTGTATAGGGTTTCTGAGGAGCGACTGGTAGGTTTGAGCACCCGGTCTTTTGGTTACTTGTTGTTAAGTGCTGTTGAGTTTGTTCCCACACATAGTGACCCTGTATAGGGTTTCTAAGTAGCAGCTGGTGAGCTTGAACCTCCGACCTTGCAGTTTAAATGACTTTGCTGTCTGGCGCATTAACCTACAGTGCCCCACTTTGGTTAGTAGTCTAGTGCTTATCCTATAGCACCACACCAGTACTATATAAAAAAAGGAGTCCTGGTGTGGTGCTGTGGATTAATGCACTGGACTGTAAAGTCAGTTTGAACCACAAAGTCGATTCAAGCTCACCAGCTGCTCTTCGGAAACCCTTTACAGGGTCGTTATGGGTCAGAACCAACTCGATGGCACTTAACAACAACAACATATATGTTTTTAAAAGTTATAAATAGCGTTTTATAATCTTTTAAGTGGGAATGTTATAAATGATATTTGCCTTAAAAAATATTTTCAGCATTCTTTTAAAGATATTTTTAAACATTAACCAATTAAGACAAGTCTAAAAATTCCATTGGTCAACTCTGCTGCCCTCAAGTATTGTTGTTGTTGTTGTTGTTAAGTGCCGTCGAGTCGGTTCCGACCCATAGCGACCCTGTACAGGGTTTCTGAGGGTGTAAATCCTTACGGGAGTAGAAAGCCTCATCTTTCTCCCGCGGAGCAGCTGGTAGTTTCGAACCGCTGACCTTACGGTTCGCAGCCCGATTCGTAACCACTACGCTACCAGAGCTCCTTGCCCTCAAGTATACTCATTATTAAAACGGGGCTTCAAAAATTTGTGAGAAAATTCCATTATCTTTTCATTCCATTTCCCCATGAACTTTTTCAAGCCCCCTCCTTTGTTTGATGTATATGTTTCTACAGGAATTGTTTTGTTATGTACTTTGTAATTGTTTCTACTCTGTATTTCTTGGAGTTCTTTGCATGTTAAAGCCTAGAGAGCTAACTCATTATTACTATTATTGTTTTAACTATTACAGAATATTCTAGAATATGAACATAGCATAGCCAATTTAGCCAACCCACTACTGGTGGTCATTTATTGTTATTGTTGTTGTTATGTGCCTTGGAGTCGGTTCCAACCCATAGCGACCCTATACAGGGTTTCTGGGGCTATAAATCTTTATGGGAGCAGAAAACCTCATTTTTCTCCCACGGAGCAGCTGGTAGTTTTGAACTGCTGATCCTAAGGATAGCAGTCCAATCTGTAACCACTACGCTACCAGAACTCCTTCAGTGGTCATTTAGGTTACTATAAAGGATACTCACATATGAAACTTTCAGGTATCTATACCAGGAGTCCTAGTGTGGCACTGGACCACAAGGTAGGTTTGAACCACAAGGTCAGTGGTTCAAACGCACCAGCCACTCCTTGGAAACCCTATACAGGGTCACTATGAGTTGGAACTGACTCGATGACACATAACAACAACAACACACCACACTGCTAGATTTGTACTAGATTAATCTTCTTAACAGCCACAGAGAATTCCAGTTCAAGGATATGCCATGAGGTATCAGCAGCTATCTGCTGCTGATGGATGTTAGGGTCTTCCCTATTTTTTATCTTAGCAAACAATGGCTTCTTTGACATTACAGATTTTTTTTAAGCATATATATATTTTTAAATGAAAATCTGGATTCAATGTTTGAAGACCATCTGCAGACCAGTGAAACAAAAGAAGACCCAGCGAAACAACATTCGAATGAACATGAGAAAGGAAGCTAAGACCCCGTGGCAAAGCCTAATCATCACAAGGCAGCCATAAGATGGGGTTGCTTCAAGGATGACAAGAGGGACAACGAGATTCTTAAATGGTTTGTTGTCATGAATCCCTTAGAGAACTTTCTGGAAGCCACAGCTCTTCAGAGGAGGCTATCAGCCCCTGTACCTGCCCAATAACCCTGCACCCTGAATTTTCTTTGATAAACTACCACCCTCCCCAACTCCACCACTGTATACATCCTCAGCATAACCAGTCAAGTTGTTCTGTCCTCCCCAACCAAAGGATGAGTCTAAAACCCAAGTCAAGACAGTGAGATTTAATTCCTAGATGTTGGCTAAAGCTATTGGGAGAGAGGCCCTTTCTTGCTGCTGTTTCATGATAAAGATGCAAGTCTGGTGTTGCCAAAGAACTCTTGTCTGAGAATGAAGCAGGTTTTCTGGAAATCTAGATTGAATACCTGGATCCAGATGTGCCTCAAACCAGCCCCACTGACTCAGTTACATGAGCCAATAAATTCCATTATCTGCTTCAGCCAGGGCCATTTGGTGTGGTTTCTGCTACTTCCATTGAAAGAGTTCTTGTTCATTCACCCTTGCCCCGGAAGAAAACAACTTCATCCATTCAACCAGTATTTATTGAGTATCTAGTCTATGTTCAGCTCTGTGGTAGGCTAATAACATGAACATGATGGGACCGGGCTCTCTACTCATGATGGTCCCAGGCTACTAGAGAGCAGGCAACTATTCTGTGATACCGTTGACACCCCAGAAGCTGAAGGAGCAGCTGGTGAGCTACGAGAGAGACATCTGGGTGGGGTGATGGGCTCAGGGACCCCCTGCAGATGAGATCTTTAAGATGAGACCCGAAAGAGAGTCAGGAATCAGCCAAGTGAAACGGGGTGATGGGCAGAGTCCATGTACACATGTCCATGGGGCTTCAGGGCACCCCAAGGCCCTTCAAAGGTTCAGAAACCTGAAGAGTCATTGAAAGTTGAAGGAGGGAAGGGCAAGGGAGGTGACCTCCAACCAGAGGGAGTGGACACAGGAAGAGGATGCTGGAGTGCGCACCTGGCCTGCCCTTCTTGCTCCTCAGATCGTGGTGTAGAAATACATGGCTGTCAGCATCACAGGGAGCTGGACAAAGAGGCAGTGAGGTGAGGGTCACTCCAGCCCCATGCCCACATCCCAACTGGCCCATAGGCTCCCTGACTCTCACCGTCCACATCAGGATGGCGAACCCAAACCATGAGATGCCCCACGTGTAGCTGTCGATGGCATGGCCAATGTGTTCGAAGCAGCCCTGTGTCGGGGGGGCAAATGAGGTTTTGAGAAGATGTCCAGGGAGGTTGGCAGCTGAGGGGAAGCGTCCCTATGCACCATAGGAAAAGTCACTTCCTTCCCCAAGCCCCTGTTCCCTCATCTGTAAAATGGGGATCATGAAGTCTCTACCTCCCAGGTGGTTTGGGGAAGCCAGAGAGGTAACATTGAACGCAGGTCCTATGCAGGTAGGCACCGTCTTGAGGACTGCTGGGGCTCTGACAATTTGAGGGTGGTTCTTTTTAGAGTGGGTTTTTCATACTGCCCACAAACTTACAATATACCTTTAGGACCAGCCTGGTTCCGATACCTCTTCAATTAGAGTTGAGGTTGAGTGAGACCGGAGTCAGTTGCATTCAGCCTTGGAGGCAGCTGAGAGCAGAGGTTCAGGATGCGTGCCCTGCAGTCCAAGTGAGGGACCAGCTCTGCCTCTGAGCCTCAGTCTTCCCATCTCTGAGGTGGCTATCTTGATAGCTTGGCTTTTGAAGAGCAGTTTCAGGGATTTCATGAGATGCTGTGTGTAAACCTCTGCAGAGTCAGGGCTCAGGAAATGGCCATACTAGCTTACTGGAGTTATGATTTTCTCCATGACACCTCATCTAAGACACGATCCTGAAGGGCCTCCCAGCAGAAGGACCACTGGGGCTGGTTCTCCTCTTGGTTTCCTTTCCTGGTTCGACACTTCTCCCTTGTTTTTGTTGTTAAGTGTCATCGAGTCAATTCTGACTCATAGCGACCCTTGTATAGGATTTCTGAGGAGTAGCTGGTGAATTTGAACCACTGACCTTGCAGTTCAAACCGACCTTGCAGTCCAGTGCATTATCCCACTGTGCTACACCAGGACTCCGCCCTTGGCCGTGGTTAAAGCCCCTGTTTAGGGTCTCATGGCCTGAAGTGGAACCCTAACTTAACTCACTTACAGGTGATCTCTCAGTGTCATTACTATAAATGAGGGATAACATGAGAATTTGGGGAGTGGTTACCTCAGATGCTAACAACTCCAAAAATGCTAACCACTCAGATGCTCACCAAACGACTGGAAGTTCAAGTCCACCCAGGAGTACCTCAGAAGAAAGTCCTGGAAATCTACTTCTGAAAAATCAACCACTGAAAACCCTGTGAAGCATAGTTATACTCTGACACCACCATGAGTCAGAACAGACTTAATGGCAACTGCTTTATAATCTTTACCCTACAAAGTTGTGATCAGGATTACGTATGATAAAAACGTCACATACTTAGAAGAATGCCTGGGACAATAAACATCCGTCATGATTGGTTTTGTGTTGCTGCTGTTATCATCTCTGGGCCCACACAACCTGAGAAAAGTTGCAGGTGGCAGTTCTGGAAGGAACCACCCCTGAATCCATCCTACTGATTTGCTAAGGCAAGTGCCCTCCCCTAAGACAGTGATGCTTAGAGTATGACCAGGATGGGCATCATGTGGGGACTTACTAAAAAGGCAAATGCTTGGGTCCCACCCAGACACCCTGAATCAGAACCCGGGGTATTTTCACAAGTCCTCCAGGTGATTTTGATGCATAGGACAGTCTGAGAACCTTCTGCCACCTTACCTGTGACTTCCACCAGGGCTGGTGGGAAGAGTCAGTGGGAACAGCATGGAAAAGGTCTGGTAAGGGGCTGGGCACCCTACTAGGCTCTTGGGAAAGCCAAGAGAGAGACTGTATCACTTTAGAAAGAAAGAGAAGGGAATGAGGGACACAGGGCGTGTGAGAGAGGGAGACAGATGAGAAAGATAGAGAGAGGAGAGAGAAGGAATGGGAAAAGAGAAATCCCATCACAAGGGCAACAGAAAGATGGGAGGGGAAGAAGATAGGAGGAGGGAGGGAGGGAAAAAAAGAAAGAGCAAGAGAGAAACAAGGAGGAGGAGAGGTTCAACGGACATCAAGGAGAGACCCAGACCCAGAAAGGGACAGGGCAGTCAGAAGAAGGAAGGGCCAGATGGACAGACTGTTGAGAGAGCCAGACAGAAGGGGGAGGGAGATGTGCAGACAGTGGGAGGAAGGGAGAGATAGGAGAGCCAGAGAAGAAGCCAGAAAGAATCAGGGCAGAGAGGGACAGACACAGGGACAGCAGAGGCAGGAGAAGACGTGGGAAACTCACCTTGGTGTACAGGTAGTCCAAGTGGCCTACCCGGCAGCCTTCCTCGTTAAGGGGGATGAAGTTGCCAGTCCTGCGGCAGCACAATGGGGGCCAGGGAAACACCACCTCCGGAGTGGCCTTCCGGAAGGCTGATGTAAAGTTCACCCAATCCATGGGCCCGGAGGTGCCACAGCACTCTTGCTGGAGAGAGAGCCAGGGAGGAGGTCAGGCAGGCTAAGGCTCAGAGAGGGGCAGCTGCTCACTTGAGGCCACACAGTGAAGAAACAAACAGTTCCCCTATGCCCTGAGCCTTCAAAGTGGGGAGTTTGTGTGTGTGTGTAAGGCTGATGACGGATTTAGAGGAAACCCACATTTGTGCTTAAGTTGTCAACAAAAACAACAGTAAATGACAGAAAAGGCAGATTCCTGACTTTTACTGGTCTCTGCTGTTGTTGTTGTTAGGTACCATTGAGTCGGTACCGACCCATAGCGACCTTATGCTCTCTGTAGGGGTCTGGATTTGTGGCCTCTGAGAGGTGAAAACAGGCTCAGGTATCCTTCAAACATGGGTTCGAATCCTGGCCAGCTGTGTGACCTGGGTCCAAAAGATCTTCTACTTCCCATGGGCCCTCAGTTTCCTCTTCTTGAGATGCAGCATCATGTTGAGTTTGGTGAAGCCTATGGCTCCTGGAACTTGGTACCCTGGGTTTGAATCCTTCTTGCCCTGCACTGTTAGGAAGCCATGTGGTTTCTTGTCTCAGTTTCCTCACCTGGAAAAGATTACCCATAGCATCTCCCTTATGGCTGTAAGGATTGAATAAGCCTGAAAATTGCTTTGTTGCTGCTGCTGCTACTGTTATGTTGTGTGCCACCAAGTCTTTTCTGAGTCACAGCGACCCTATATAGAGTTTCCAACGCTAGAACTGGATGGCTAACTTCATTGACTGCAAGGTTGGCAGTTCAAACTCACCAGCTGCTTTTGGAAACCCTGTACAGGGTGGCTATGAGTCTGAACCGACTTGATAGCATACAACAACAACTAATCCTTACAGGAGCAGAAAGCCTCATCTTTCTCCCAAGGCCAAGCTGAAGAGTTCAGCTGCTGACTTTGCAGATAGCAGTCCAACGCATAACCCACTACGCAAAAAGTGCTTTTGTGGTTGTTGTGTGTGCTGTCAAGCCAACACCTACTCCTAGTGACCCTGCATAGGGTTTCTGAGGAGTGGTTGGTGGGTTTGAACCGCTGACCTTGCGGTTAGTAGTCCAGTGCTTATATCCTACAGCGCCACACCAGAACAGTGCTAAATAAAAGTTTCCGCCCTCAAAATCACACTCATTGCCAGTGAGTCTATTCTGACTTAGGATTTTCAAGATTGCAAACCTTTATAGGAGAAGATAGCCTTATTTTTCTTCTCTGAAGTGACTGAAGGCTCCCAATTGCCGACCTTGTCAATGTTTTTGTTTCTTTAAATTGTTTCATTCTGAATTATGTGATAGTTTACATGGGAGAACATTAGCTTTACATTCATCCTATTGTATATCATTTCATTGCCATGGTTACAATGCCCTCCAGGCATCATCAACCAACCAAAGGGTGTACCCCACCCTGGCCCCCTGGTCATCAGTCCTTGTCAGTTCTTTTCCTACAGTGCCACCAGGGCTCCTTGAAATGAAAATTGTCATTGTTGTTTAGTGCCATCCAGTCAGTTCCAACTCATAGCGACCCTGTCTGTACAGGATTTCTGAGGAGCCGCTAGTGGGCTAGAACCGCCAACATTGTGGTTCAAATTGCTCTTGCTGTCCAGCGCATAGCCCTCAGTAAATGTTTGCTGTCATTATAATTGGAGTCCTGGTGTAGTGCTGTAGGGTAATGCGCTGGATCGCAAGGTCAGTTTGAACCCCAAGGTCAGTGATTCAAATCCACCAACTGCTCTTTGGAAATCCTATACAGGGTTGGTATGGGTTGGAACTGACTCGACAGCACTTAACAACAACAATGTCATTATTATTAAGGAGCCCTGGTAATTTAGCAGATTACAAATTGAGCTGCTAACCGCAAGGTCAGAAGTTCAAATCTACCAGCCACTCTGCACAAAAAAGGTGAGGCTTTCTGCTCCCATAAAGATTTATAGCTTCAGAAACCCGATACAGAGTCTCTGTAACTTGGAACCAACACAGTGAAACACAACCACCACCACCATCATTATTATTATTGAGGCATTATAGTGTAATGGGGAGTCCTGGTGTGGTGCTGTAGGATAAGCGCTGGACTGCTAACCACAAGGTCAGCGGTTCAAGCACACCAACCGCTATACAGGGTTGGTATGGGTTGGAACTGACTCCACAACACTAAGAACAATAGTGTAATGGTTAAGAGCAGGACTCTGGATCTAGGCTGCCGGGTTTGAATCCCAACTCTGTCACTTACCAGTTGTGTGACCCTGAACTTCCCTTTCTGAGCCTGTGTCTCACCTGAAAAATGGCAATGAAAGGAGCCCTCCTGAGTGAAGTTCTCACTCATCTACTTTAGAGGACTGAGCCCCAGGCCCTCCCTGCAATGCTCTCCAACCCGCCATTGCTTTTAGCTGCTATGGACACAGCCCAACTTATGGTGAATCCATGCACAACAAAGACACAGTGCCTGGGGCTGCCACACCCCCGTGATAGCTGTGGAGCAGACTGTTGTGGTCCATAGGACTTTCAGTGGCTGGTTTTCAGAAGCAGATTGGCAAACCCTTCTTCCTAAATCCATCTTCGTCTGAAAACTCTGATGGCTACATGCAAGCCTCCACAGACAGATGGGTGGTGGCCATGGATGTATCTCCCTGACTGGGAATCCAATCTGGGTCTTCCACATATCATTAATGGAGTCTCAGTGTGGCGCTGTGGGTTAATGCACCAGACTGCAAAGCCATTTGAACTGCAAGGTTGGTGGGTCAAGCTCACCAGCTGCTCCTTGGAAACCCTATACAGGGTCACTATGGGTTGGAACTGACTTGACAGCACTTCATAACAACAACAACAAGCCACCACTGTCTCCTTTGGCCCATCGCACGCTGGCCCACCTCCATCATGACACGATCCCAGAGACGGGTCAACTCCTGGCCTTGGTCCGTGTTTGCGCTGTAGAAGGTCAACATCTGCTTGGTGATCAGGGATGGGTTGGACACCATCTATGGAGGGTCAAGAAGAACAGAGTCTAGCAGGGAAGGAAGGGAAGAGAGGCTGCCCCCCAACCTCCAAGAGCCTCACCAGCCTCCTCCAAAGTCACAGCCCTCCCCTGGCCTCTGCCCAGCCCATGGCTCACGTAGTCTCGGTGGGTATAGGACGTGATACAGGAAGCGCACTCAAAGATGTAGACAATAAGCATGAGCACCAGGTACTGGAGGAGACAGAAGGGGGGGTGGCCGTCAGAGACAAGCCTGGGAATCACAGCCCCCCCCCCCAAGGCCTGATCCTGGGGAGATATGTAATATATACTTATACGTCTACGGCAGTCTGAATGACAGCTGCAATCTGGTGAGTCTACAGGTGTTTGCCGTACAATTGTTTGAACTTTTTTGTATGCTGAGCATTTTTTTTTTAAATATATTGTCATTGTTGTTAAGTACTGTCGAGTCGGTTTTTATATATAGTAAAATGAAATCCACACAAAAATATCATGCAAATACGAAGATGCTTCAGAAAGTTCACAGAAAAACAGAATAAAAAGATAATAAAGAATGAAAGTGAATGGAGGCAAATACTGTTAACTGGTAGTACATGTGGGGTATTACATTCATCGTCATGAAACGAAGTGTTTTATTTGTTGAAGGTAAAACTGATGATCTGTTCTCTAAACCTTCACTCAATTCACATTTAAAGTTAGTAATAATAATAATAAAGGAACACACTCAAAAAGAGATTTTCTTGATAAAAAGATCATTTCTATGAGGGTTACAGGGTTAAGGGAAGGGAAAATTATTCATGGACTAGAGTGTAGACACATGTTAGTTAACAAGGGTGACAGGGCAGGTAATATACAACAAGAGGGAGGTTAGCAGAAGACACAGGGAGGAATGCAAGAGTTAAGTGACTAGAGGTAAATGCTGTTAACT